TTTTAAGCAGCAAGAAAAATAGGTGTGGCAGAGTTGCAGCAAGAAACCAATTAGTAAAGAAAGGTTTCTGAACCCACTTTAATAACATGCCATAATAAAGTAGTATATTCCTTTACTTTTGTCTGTTAATAAGACAAAGTGTGTATAGAATCCAATCAGAAATAAACTGAATACTTTTTTCATGGTTTTAAACTATTTTTAAAAACGACTGGTGGATGAATTCTTGGATATCACCTCCTGAACCACAGGAGAACACACTTTTTGAGGGGGTTAAAGCAGCTGCACTCAGTCCTTCCCCTGGTACTGCAGGGTCTGGCTCTGCTCACAGTCAGGGGAGCCTTTGACCACGCAAGTTCCAAGATGTGACATGTCCTCCCAAGCTCTGAGGCACCAGCCACAGCTTCTTCCTTCCAGGTGTCCATTCAGCATCTCCACACCTCCTGCCTCCTTCAGCCCCTCAAAGACCCTGACCTGCTTTGACTTCTTCTATCATTCGCTGCCTTCAGGATGTGTTAATCCAATTCACTGAGGTTATCCTGCAATAGGGTTGATTTGTGGTTACTTCCCTATTCTGTAACCAATCTGGTACTGTTTTTTTCAGCACTTTGAACTGTAAACTGTTAAAGATTTTATGAGCACTATGTCACACCTTGGAGTCACTTGGCAGCTGGGGAAAGGATAAGGGGACGTTCTCCAGCTGTGATAAGACAACATTAAGTGCAAATTCAAAAAGGAGAATGTTGCTTCATATAGTGTTTTACAATCTTGATTCTACATTTCTGTAGCTGCACTCCTAATGAAATAAAGGGATGATTTTTAAACACTACATAAACTAATGTGTGTGCAAAGCAACTCAGAGGTGTAGCTCATTTCCTACTTGATGGGAAGTACACCTGAGTTTCCCACTACATTATTTTAACTGTCTAAAAGAAAGTTTTACCATCAAACCCCAAAACTGTTCTCAACACTAAATTAATCTCAAACAATATCAGTATTCAGCCCAAAGAATATTGTGTTTATTCTCCAGGCTAAGAAAAGTTTAAGATAACAAAAAAGAAAGCAGCCATTTCATGACTGTTGGGCTTGAATGAAAATGGCACTGTGTCACCACAAGGCTTATAGATATTTACTTTTTGAAGCTTTATTATCTCCTGACACGCAGCAGGACCTGCATGCAGGTGCTGTCACGAGTTTTCTGTAAAATTACCAGGATGTTGTGGTAAATAGCACAGCAACAGAAGACAAAAGCCACAGGCTGAGCAAGAAACCAAAACAGTTTTTCATGTTTAGGGAAAACACTGTTGAGGAGACAGCAAGAAGTTACAAGTGGAAAATGTACACTGTTTTACCACTGACAAAGTCACCTAACTTGAAATGTTCAAATCCTTCAGAAAACTGGTCACTTATACCAAAATATAAATGGAGGAAAAATCAAAATAAAAAAATACACATATGTATAAAAAATATTTTAAAAGGCATAGCTCTGTTAGCTAAAGTTATGATTTAACACAGGCTTCCAGAAGAATTTAATTTGAAGTTCACTCCAAAAAAGATTTCTGGATTTCAGATAAAATGAATTGGAGTTATACCACTTATGACACACAATTCATACATTTAAAAAAAAACAAAACCAAACAAAAAAAAGTATGATAAAACAAAGTTAATTTTCAAAATCAAACTATGAGACTCTTGGTGTGCACACCTGTGTGTCAAATTCTGCAATGGTTTTCCTTGCAGTCCTATTGTGCAATGTCTTCAATTCTCAGGAAGTTTCTCATCTGCTAAAAAAAGTCTTTTTCCATTTGCAGGAACCTAATGACTGCAGTCACTCAATGCCACTGAATTACAGCTAATTAGGTGATTGTACCAAAATGGTCAGGAAAAATACAAAGTTGTGACAAATTTGAATACAAGTTAAAAAGTATTTCTCACTGGCATCCCAATAAGCTGCATGTATAAAAACACGAGGAGGAGAGAATACATGGTTCAAATAAAAGAGAGTCTCTGATCTGTTATGATAATGCTTAAATAAGCACAAGATAAGTGGATACACATTCTCTGAAGATAAATGTATCCCAGCTTGGATGAATTTGAAATTTATTTATTTAGGGAGAAGACTTATCATGACATCTCATACTCAAGACTAGAAAAAATGCAAATTGTACAGATTTACCACAATCTTAACCAGACTATTCCAGGAGGGCACTAACTGCCAAGTGGCTCCAAGACCATAATCTTATTGTGGCATGTTATTACACAGAGGAATACAACTTTTATCACAATAAAGAGAGGAAGTAAAAAATTAGTAACTCTTTATACACATCTATCTGCATATATTGAAAAAACAGACATGCAAGTTTTTGTACGGCCCTCACCATTACAGACTATTCCTTACATCAAGAATACAAATAATCAAAACATGGACTTTCTGTAGGTATTTCATTCTTACACAGTGGTTTTACTGCTTCTTACGATGAACTAGTCAAGTAAATTTCTAAGAACTTTGTCAGTACTACCCTTGATATGTACTAATATGAGCCTTCTCTAAATAACTGCATTAACTCTGAGTCCATTTGACAGAGACCATACTCCAAGCTCAATTAAGCTTTACTTCATAACTAAAACCGTTCAGAACAAGCAGCAGTCACTGTAATTTTTGTCACCACTAGTAAAGAACTTAAGCTTTTAAAGACCACTAAATACTCTATAACACCGTATTCTTCATGTGGATTGCAGCATATCGAACTTTTTTGCTACCAACCCTTTAGCCACATGAGGAAGGTGCTTCCTGGATTTCCTAAACCATCCATTTTACCGGAGCACATCCCATTCAAACTTCTCTGGGCAATCCCAAAGATCACATGAAACCAAACGTACAGTCAATGATGCAAGGAGGGGCGTGTGTGCACTACCAACCCCTGAGCACCCAAAATATTCATTATCCTAAATGCCCCCAGTCCCCACGCAGGGGGACAAGCAGCAGGAGCCCCTCGAGGGCGGGTGTCCCGCAGGCGTGGGGCACCCACGGACCCACCGTGACAGGGGCAAAACGGGCTCTGTCACTCACCCACCGTGTTACACGGCCAATGTTTGCTCTGCACAGTGCACTGGGCAGCAGAGCAAACACAGGGCAGCAAACACCTCCGTACAAAATGGGAAAAAAAACCCAGTCAAATAATATTTTCTTTAATAACATTTCCCCTCCTGTCCTGCTGAAGGCTCGCCACGCCAGGAAATAAGCTCCATTTTTTTTTTTTTTAAGAAAACACAAACCCCGCTCCAAAAGCGTTTCCTGGTAGCTATCCCGAGTTCCCGATCCGGGACACGGATGCTGGTCACACCCGGGGGTGGGGGGGGGGGGCGGCACACCCGGAGGGGCTCTGGGAGGCGAAGCCGCCTTAGCGCCGGGGCAGCATCGAGCCCCAGACCCCTCCCCGCGGCTGCGGCCCCACCGCAATCCAGTCCAGTCCCGTCCAGTCCAGCCCCGTCCCGTCCCCGCGCTCAGACCTTCTCCAGCGGCCCGTCCATGTCGGCGGGGCCGCCCCGGCCCGGCGCGGCCGCTCCACGCTGGCAGCGCTGACGGGGCCGCGCGGGGCGGGCCGCGCTCGCGCGCTCACCTGCGCCCGGGCACCGCCCCCCGCCGCGCGCACCACCGCGCCGCGCGGGACAGGGGGGACAGAGGGGCGGCCACGCTGAGCGCGGCACGAGAGGACCGGGGAGAGCGCGGCCACTCCCCCCCCCCGCGCCGCCTGGTGGAACAGTCCCGGGGAGGTGACAGGTGGTGGCGCATGCGCAGGAAGCGCGGCGCGCGCGGCCGTGGCCGCGGCCGGGGAGCGGGGCTGGGACGGGAGCGTTGTGCTGCGGGTTCGAGTCCCCGCCGCGCTGGGTCGTGGCCGCCCGGACCCCGGCAGGGCTCTGCGAGGCTCCAGCCTTCGTGAACCTCTCGGCTGTCACCCCGCTGTCGCCTGCGGTGGCACCAGACCTTTCCTTTGCGGGAACGCTGCACAGCCCGGCGGAGAGCGCGCACCTGCCCGCGGGTTCTGTCACGGGCAGCCCCCGGAGACACAAACCAGGAGTTTTACTGGGCTTTATCTCTGATTTTCCAAGCTGGAGTTAATTTCCGTGCACATCCCTCTTCTCTTTAGCGCCATTGATATTATTCAGTGGCACCACTTGCAGATTGGTGTCGTTTCCCGCAGGGATGTACCGGGATGAGGAGCTGGAAAGGGCAGTTCGTGGGCCCGGGCCCTGGCACGGCGTGTCCGCCGAGCACTGGGCAGCGCGCTCAGCACTGTCACTGAAATGTATTTCAATCTACAGACCGTCCATGCCTATTTATAGTCATCCATGGGAGATTTCGTGATAGTTTCAAACGCATTGATCCAGGTCACAGAGCGAACTACCGCCTCCAGCCTCGAGATGGTTCCCTTGGCCAAGTCTGAGCCCGTGGCCAGGACCAAGGGGAAACTCCCGGCTGCGCTCCTCGTTTTCTGTGGCCGAGGGCTGCCGTGCAGGACTGGAGCCACTCTCGGTGTCAGCTCTTTTACATGGATTTCAGATCCGCTTTGTGGCACTGGTTCTGTGTGCATAAAGCTGTGTACACAAGTCTCTTCAATAACCAAACATCACTTCTGACTTTCTCCTCAATTTGTCTCAGGAGCAGAGAGCAAAGTGGAGGAACCCCACAGGCTGCTGCTGCTGCTGCTCGGCAGGTGTGTATGGGCCCTGCTCAGCAGGGTAGCAGAAACCAAAGTGCAAAGACACCAGCAAAATTGAAAAGAAAAAAAGCCATAACCTACTCATGTAACCAAGGAGATAATTAAAAAATAAGCAAACAGTGCCTAGTTTACACTTGTCTGTCAATGGGAGGTTGTAGTGAGATTGGTATCAGTCTCTTCTCCCAAGCAAACAGCAGTAGGACAAGCGGGCACAGTCTTAAGCTGCAACAGGGAAGGTTTAGGTTGGACATTTGGAAGAAGGTCTTTACAGAGAGAGTGATCAGCCATTGGAATGGGCTGCCCAGGGAGGTGGTGGAGTCACCATCCCTGGAGGTATTTAGGAAGAGACTGGATGTGGCACTTAGTGCCATGGTCTAGTAGGCAAGGTGGTGTTCAGTCGAAGGTTAAAGGTTGGACTCGATGATCTCAGAGGTGTTTTCCAACCTAATCGAATCTGTGAGTTGCAGCAATACTGCACAGTGACTCCATGGTGCTACTTCGAACAAAGGAGACACAGTAACCTACATCTTGGGAGTGAGTGTATGGTCACTTGAGAAACAAGCCCACGAACCCAGTGATCAGCGGGTGATCGCCCACGGGAGCCCGGCGTGGCCGTCGGGAGCCTGCCCTCCCTGTTAGGGGAGGATCCCCGAGCGGGGAGCGCCGCGGGGATGGCGAGGGCGGCGGCGGGGCCGGGGCGGAGGCGGGCGGGCCCGTAAGGAGGAGGAGGAGAAGGAAGAAGAAGAAGAAGAAGAAGAGGCAGAGGCGGAAAAGGCGGCGGGCGATGGCCGGGGCGCTGCTCCGCGGGGTGCGGCGCTTCCCCTGGCTCTGCAACGTGCTGCTCTACGGGGGGCTGTTCGCGGCGGGGGACGCGGCGCAGCAGCTGCTGCGGCGGCGGGGGGGACACCCGCCCGACTGGGCGCAGACGCGGCGAGTGGCGCTGGTGGCCCTCGCCTTCCACGGCAACTTCAGCTACGTGTGGCTGCGGGCGCTGGAGCGGGCGCTGCCCGGCCGCCGCCCGCCCGCCGTGCTCGGCAAGGTGCTCTGCGACCAGCTCCTGGGAGCGCCCGTCGCCGTGCTCGCCTTCTACACGGGTGAGTGCGGCCGTGCCAGGGGTGTCCATCGCAGAACCCCGCGGGATCGTCTTGGGAAGCGGGGCTTTGCGCCCCGATAGGACGGCGTGGTTGGGTATCCCCCTCCCGCGGCCCCAGAAGGCCGGTGCGGAGTGCGCGGTCCCTGGGCGAGGAGGGATGCGCTCGGAGCTGGGGACGCGGTTGGGGACCCGAGGATGCTGAGCCGCCCGTGGCGCTTCAGAGCTTTAGATGAGGCGGTGCTGGGCCGAAGGAGAGTCCTGCTGTGGGCTCGGTTGGGCCTGTAGCTTTTAACTAGAGACAGTTGTACCACTCATGCCTGCTTGAACTGCTCTGCTCTGCTCTGTTCTCGACATTATTTCCAAAACAAAACTGTAAATGTCAGGAAATACTATAGTTCAGCAAATAAACTGTACCAGCTTCTGCTGTGAGAGTATATAGAAATACAGTGTGCTACTGATGGATAATCTCGAAAGCTAACAAGTAAGAAGAGGCTTTAAAGAAGACTAGTATCAATTTCAAAAATAAACATGAGGGAATAAGAAAAGAGGTGAGACTAGTGTAATTAAATGCTCTCATTTTACTTCATGTGAAAGAAGAGCAAGACAGGCCCTCATTTTGTCTGGTATTGGGAGATCTGCGTTCTATGACCCCATCAGGGAAATCATTCAGTTTGTGAGTGAAGAGAAATGAAGCAAAGAAAGAAGTCAAATGCCAGATCCTTACTCTCAAAATCTTATCAGTCTGTGTCAGAACCTAAGCAGAGAATTGCCCAAGGACCAGAAGGATCTGAAGGACCACAAAAGGGATGGTAAAAATCCCTAACTCGGGTAGCAGTAAAATAATGGATCCATTGAGAGATACTGATAACCCACGGCATGCAAATACCTAAAGGGATCCCTCAGTTGAACTAAGCAGCTTTAGGTCTCTGCTTATGCATGAATTTGTAGTTTTTGATTTTGGACTGACTTGTTGAAAGCATGTTGTCTAATACCTTTTCTGAATATAGGTCACAACTTCCAGTTGAGGTGGGTGGTCTTTGAAGAACTGCTACACCTTTTAGAAGGATGTAGTCTTAATTTGATATCTGAAGATTCCCATTGTATGAAGTATCAGTTAAAGAGTTCAAAATAATAAACCCTTTAAACAGTATTTCATGTGATGGGAATTCACTCAGTTGATTTATTTCTGGTTTGTATGTATCTACTATGTCATTTCAAGTCATATTGCTTTTTTCTTGGTCCTGAGTGTGATGATGGGAGCCTGTTGTTTGTGCTTTCCTAGAACCAAGAGGAGTTTGGATCAACTAGAGTGGTCAAAATTAAACAAAAAAAATTAGATACCCTTTTCCGCTGACTTCAGCTGGTCTGTAGGCACCTGAACTCCTTCCAGGGTCTGAGCCACTTCTGGCAATTCAACAATGTGCACAATGCCTTATTCTCTCTCTCTCATGGGTGTGAAAGGTACTTTCATTCTCTCTGTTCCACCACCATATCACTGGTGCACGATGGGGCAGAGGAACAGATATGCTACAGTACATCCCAGCTGATCTGTGGTGTCAGTGCTGAGAGTCAATAGGTGAGGAGTTATAAGGTAGCACTATCAGGTAACCAGAATGTTTTTCTTTGTAATGGTACTAGCTTTTCTTTCAAAGCTATTGTAATATATTTTGAGGAGGGTTTGGTATGTTATTGAAAAAAATGAACATTTCATTTTTGCATTATTTCTGATTGTTGTAAATATTTTGCCACTAGGTATGAGCATCCTTCAGAGGAAAGAGGACATCTTTTCAGACTGTAAAAAAAAATTTTGGAATACATATAAGGTGAGGCAAGTAATTTGCTTATCTCACAGCTAAGGGAACAAATGGATAAAATATTTAAAATATTCCTTCCTCCAACACTGTTTTTTTCTCCTTTCTCTCACTCCACTGTTTGATTATGTGTAGAAAGTTTGAGTACCAGCAGTCCTGTGAAGTAAGGGCAGTCTGGAGCAGGCACTGCTGCCAGATGGGTGAAATTATGCCACTTAAACAATGTCCAGTGTCTATATACATAACCCTTGCACCAGCTCTGTTTGAATGACAGTCCTGCAATACAACACTGATTCAGATTGTACTACCTTTTGTCTTAAGAAGAACCCCCACGCCAGTGTTTAGTTAGGAATAGTATTGACAACGCTTACATACACACCTGTTAAATCATTAGTTATAGAGACATCTTTAGGAATCATTTTTAGCCTGTACTTTTCAGTGGCAATCTTCTCACTTTCAGAAGCACAACCCCTTGTTTTAAGAAGACTTTGTTATAAGCAGCTGGCTTTGATTTGCATTTCTGCATACACAAGAAAAAATTATCTGTGCTACCTCAGAGCTGAGCAAGCTAAGAATGTTAAAGATTTCTCAGATGCAAGAGGAATTAATTGAGAGATCAGCAAGAAATAATATAATAGAAGGAGAAAATGTGATGCAATGTGAATTTATCTTCATATTCTGGAACTATATAGGTAGGATAGAAAAGGATTATTTTTATTCCTCTGGAGGATGATTCTAAAAGCAGTGCTCACTATATCCTATCAAAACATAAGGTTTCTATTGACCTGATGTTCTGTGAGTAAATTATCCATTGATTTTTCTAAATATGCCTTACATGTATGAGTAAGTAGAAGGAGCATTGCAAGTGTGAAATAAATAGTGTTCAGTGGTATTTTTCATTAATGGCTGAAACAAATGTTCACACATTTAAACATTTGTTCACCCATCTGGTAAATGTGCATATTGTGTCTGGTGTCAGCTGACTGTGAAGACTTAACTGCTTAGAGTTTTGTATTTAAAATGAGTTAGAATAATGTGTTTGAAAAACTCACAGCATAGAGGCTCATGAAGATGATTAGAAATTTAATATGGCAACCTTGAGTTAAACAACTTCATTTGCAATTAAACAGCTTTTATTAACTTTCCTCAAATACGTGTCAGTCATCACTAAGTGTGGTAAGAAAAAATGAGTCGTTGCAGTTGAAATCCATAAGAATAACAAATTATTCATTTTCATTTCAGACAGGACTGATGTACTGGCCTTTTGTGCAGGTGAGTTCTCAAGGTGACTCCGTGGCCTTTCTTTCCCATAAAACCCAATCCCTTGCAGCCACAGTGTATCTGACCCTGGGAGAAGTCAGTGGAGTTGTGGGGTGTGTACGTGCAGGACCTAACGATGCCTGGAGCACTAACTGAGCTCTCTCTCCTTCCAACACAGCTCTCAAACTTCATTTTGATCCCTGTTCACCTGAGAACAGCTTACACTGGGCTCTGTGGCTTTGTCTGGGCTTCCTTCATTTGCTTTTCCCAGCAGAGTGGAGATGGCACAGCAAAGTCAGCATTTATGTGGCTCCAAGGAGAGAAGGTCAATGCAGATGAAGAACCATCAGAGAAAAAAGAACTTTAGTTCTGAACACATTCTAAATTGCTGAACTGGGCTTACGGAAGTCGGTAAATCACAGTGCAGCCTCACTGCTGTGTTTAAAATAAACAGTTATCTCAACATTTGGTGGTTAGTATAAGCAGTGGAACAGTTTGTCTTTGTGCCTGTTTATTTTTCATAAAAGAGGCCAGTTGTATATTGACATTTAATTATTTTCATGCTGTCATCCCATCTCATCTGGGAACAACTGACTTGCAGGGCAATGTAAGCATTTGCACATCATGTCAGACTGCCTCACTGGGGAGAAATATTAACTGTAATTTAATTTTCAAGCAACTTGTAATTGCTAGAAAAAGGGGAATAGAACATTAAATCATCAGTTGTCGGACTTGACAATTGTTATCAATGCAAGATTGCTTTTGCAGAACAAAATTTAATGGATTCTATATCTAAAAAATGGCATTGAATCTGTTTTATTGAGTGAAAATGAAAGTGCTGTGTTTGTAGGGCCCACTTTTCTATGGGGCCAACTTGTTTTATTCTACATGAATATTCATATAGCAAATGAATTATTTCATAGAATGTACCAACCTGAACTATGTTTCTACATGTTTTATCTTAACTGTGAGAATAAAGATAACTAACTTTGGTCAGAGATAACTAACTTTTGGGCTGGATGCTGCATATTGACCCTTGGAGTCATGAGCAGCTCCTACAGGATGGAACCTGACTAAGCCCTGCTGTGAGCTTTTGTTCTGTGTGCCAACAACTGCTTCCTTTGCCCCCCAAGGGTGAAAGTATAGAAGTTTTGAAAGTATAGGAGTATAGAAGTACGTGGGAGTCTTGACTCCTCCACTCTTCTCAACTGTTTCATTATACTGAAGATATAATTAAGATTTTGAAGAGAAAGAGCACGGGGAGGAAGGTAACATGAATGCCAGAATCCATCTCGAAACAATCCAGCTTTATATAAGGAACTTTCGTTTCTTCCTCAAATGGCTTTTAAACATTCCTACTCATAAAAGACCCTGGGTAACTATACATAGGAGATGAGGTGAAGGTGAAAATTAATTATAGATCTGCTTTGTCAGCTTGAGGATCAGGTCTGGATACGGGTATTTTTTCAATGTGCATATGTATGTCAGAACAGGAACTGTGCAAATTTCTGTGGTTGCAGGAAGCTGAAATCAGGCCCAAGGAGCCCTTGGTATGTTAGAGTGGGATTTTATGCCTTGAAGTTACTAAATTGTAAGCTTGAAACAGTATCTGATTTAATGCATCTGATTGTAAAGAGAGGACTCAACCCTGTGTTACAATAATGATAAACCACTTGGAGGAAGGTTTCAATTCCTCAGGCTTGTCTAAGCAGTGTCCCAAAGCCTGCTTAGGCTATAAATATACATTCCTTTGGCCAGCAGCTGTATTACTGAATATATTGCTAACAATTATTTGTCACTGTAGGAGCCCAATGCTGCTTAGCTGAGACAGGGATAGGGATCATGCAAGCACTGCCTCAGCTATTTCAGTAAAATCAACTTGTTTAGCATAACCCTGTGGTCAGGAGTGATGCAAAGTACCCATATGGCCTTGACTACAGGTCTACAGCAGTGGGAGAAGAGTAGATGGCAGGGGGCTGCTTCTGCAGTCTGTTTTGCTGGCAGACAAGTGGAGGAGCTTTCTTCCCTCTCAGGATAGAAAAGTCACTGCAATTCCATCTGCAGCTGCACAGGCAGATGTGGAAGAGCACACCTGCCTGCAAGCTTAAGGTGGAATTAATTTTACTTGACTTTTGACACCTGTAGTCTGGACATTTCAATTGGGCTGATCAGGTTGAGCTCTGTACGATGAATTGGGCACTTCAAGGGTCTGTGTTTTGCCATCTGTAACACAGAGGCTCCCACAACTGGCTGCTGTGTCAGTAGCTTCACTGTAGATGCTTACATTTGGTGAGTTGGATTCCCCTGCTGGGTGTTGCTGAATTAATCCCATTGTGTGAATTGAGCAGTCCTGATGCTGGACATCCCAGTAGGAGCAGGAATCCACAGAGGAGCTAACAGCATTTTGTCTGTCTATTTAAAAAATGAGTGAACAGATGTTTCAGACAGGTATAGCTGTTAAATTGTTCTTGTCATATAAAGTCCTCAGGATAAAGAAGCAATTTCAGTAGTGGGTTTTTTTCTGTTGGTATTTTTAGGGTCAGATTAGTATTTTGAAGTCTGTTCTATTCAGTAAGAGTTAAAAGTTTCGGTTAAGTGTGCTAATTAAGTATTTAACTTTTTTTTAATGGATGCTATTTATTTTCATTTCTGCTTGTGCCTTAAGTGTTTAATATAATTCATTTGGAGAAGGGAACTGGAAAATAATGACATTACAAGGAGAGTGAAATGGTGTTGATTTGCTGTAAGGAGTGTGTGATGTTCCTCTGAAACTTGGAGCAAAAAATCCTGCTTTGTGGGTATAACTGGTAAAACCTAATCCCCAGGTGAATCAAGATTTTATAACTGTTCTCGTGATCTGTATAATTCTGTCTTTTTCATCAGAACTAATGAATGGAAGATCCATCTTTTATTTTAAATGGCTTAAAAGCTTATACAAGCTGTGCTTTATTGCTGTTTGCTTTTGTGCTGCCAGCTTTTTGCTTGGGAATTTGAGCTAAATCCTGCTTTGTCTTCAAGTTTCTCTGGCTGTGGGCTTCAGGATTTCTCTCCATATACTTGAAGTATATTTCTCTCCATATACTTGAAGTACAGTCCTTTCATGTAATGGAAGCCTGTGGCTCTTATATTTCAGTAGACTTTAGATCCTGCAAAATCCTTTCATTTCCTCCATTTCTGTTGTTGACAGTTAAGTAACCCAAGTCTCTTTTCTCATTAAAAAAATTGTTTTGTTTTTTCTTTTAATTATAAGCACCGATTGGTCTTACAAACTTTTCAGACCCACATAATGCAAAACAATGAAGCTGTGTTGGGCCAAATTCTCAGTGTGCATAAATTAATGCACCTTCTAGAGATTTTTTTCCTGTCAGTTTAGTCTGAGGGCCTAATCCCTTGGTTGTTAGAGGTTTCATTACTTCTTGGCACTTTTTTGGTTTAGAAGATTAATTTCACAGAATAACAGAATGGCTGAGGTTGGAAAGGACCTGTGAATGCCCAGGCCAGGTCATCTAGTCCAACTCTATTTGATACATATGTAAACTTTTGTTTTCTTCTAGTAATTCAGTAATTTCTTGGGGGAGGGGGGGAAGATGGGTGAGACTTGTCCTAATGTCTCTCTGCCACCCTTTCAAAACAGTTATACAGGCTTTATGACTATTTCAAGGAATTGCACTGATCTTACTGCCAGCTGAACATGCAGATTTCCATAACCAGGAGGATGAACAGAATTATACATCACATGGGTGCTCAGGAAGGAGGGAACACACTGCCAGTACCTATAGGCCTGCAGTCACGTAATATTTTTATGTTGTGGATCCTCTCTAAGAGCAAATGGGATGAGAAGACTTTTATATCAGGCTCAGTCCCAGCTTCACGTAATTCTGGATGGCTGTGGAGATGTAGAGTCTGAATTTGATAAAATGAGAATTTCAAAATGTATTTTTCTACTGCAAATCTTTTATGCAAATGAACCTTCTGTGCTTACTAGTATGTTAAATACATCCTTCTAGGCTTGGAAAATTCACCAGAAGGCCTCTGTCTTTTTCACACCAGAAGCGACCACCCAGTAACAGCATAAAATAACCAGTTTCATACTGCAGCAAAGGTGAAACTGCCTGCAGTTTGTTACCATATCTGATGTGTTAAGTTCTCTGTATAGCACAACCTTCGAAATCTATGCAGCCTCAGCCTTCCAATTCTCTGCTGTAAGTGCCAATGCTTCCTGCTCGTGCTGCTGCCTCTACTGCTACTGCCAATCCGGTGAGATGTGCAAGAAATACTTGAATTTTACTAAAGTAATGAATTTCAAATTGACTGAAATTGTCTGTGTTTTTGCAAAGGCTTAATAAACATTAAATGCTCTTCTTTGGCTCTGTCTGTCTTTAACTAGTGTGTGTATAAACAAAGCCAGATCTTATATAAAGTTTTTGTGGGATCTTCATGAACCACATGCAACAAAAAGCTCAATTCGATGTCATAGACCCTAACACAGCAGCAGAGTATAAAATAAGCTGGGAATATTCACTCCCTTTAAAGGTTAGTTACATACATTGTCTTCTGCCACTTCTGAACAAATTCAGAATAGAACTCCTGTCTTCAAAGCTTTATGCTGAAGCTGGTGGACTTAATTTCTCTTTTATTAAAAAGAGGTAAAATCATGATGTAATTATATGTTTAGATGATTAATATATTTGCAGAAGGAACTGATGAATTCAGGTAGGAAAAAGATGTAAAAAACTTTTAAAGAGGACAGAGGTTACAATGGGGTCCTTACTGAGGGACTTCACACAGTGTAGTTTGTGTGGGATACTCTTGGGAAGGAAGTGGTTCAGAAGATTTGAGGCTGAAGGAAGTAATGTATTCCACAACTGGAAGAGAGACACCACCTCCATTCCCTGCTGCAACTTCTTATATATTTAGAATGAGGAGGAAGCTTTATGGAAACATTTCAAGTTGAAAAATTCTGTTTCATAGCCTTCATGGCCAACAGGGAGAAAAAAGATCATTCAGTCTGAATCCTTGCATAATGCAAAGCAAAGAGTTCTTCCTGAATCAAACCAGTGATGTCAAGTCTCCTGCCATCTTTTAGAAACATATCCAAAGACTTCAAGTAACAGAGGATCTTCTGCATCTCTAAGAAATTATTTATGTATTTTTATGAAATTTCATTATATATCTAAATCAATTTAGCCTTAACATTCTAATAAGATGTTACTCCCTTTCTGACAAGATTTAAAGACTTAGCAGGCAAAGCCTTCTGTATGCATATAGTGGTAAACAAAGGTTTTGTTTATTCCTTGGAAAAACTATAATAGCTTTAGCTCTGTTAGCCCTATGCTAAATCATTCTTCGAGCTCGTTTGTGAACCCTTTTTTGCTGTGCAATTTCTAATTTTAAATGTGGACAGTAACACTGTGTTAATTCCAGTGACTGTTTCACATATGTCTCAGATAATATTTTTTCTATTTCTGCTTAATATTTCTGTGCTCAAACAGCCAAGGACTGTATGTGCTCTCTTCATTTCAAAGTTGCACTGAGAATTCACATGCAATTGCCAGTCCACGATGGTCAAAGTTACTGTAATCCATTTTAAACAAGAACACAGAATGCAGATAATGTGTTGCATACACTTTTCAACATCATCCACCCTAACCAGCACTGCCTTCCCTTTTTTTTTGCAGTTTATTACTTGATATGGTAGTGGCCAAAAGTTTTGCACCTTCTATCCATATAGAAAAACAGACTTCAGTGCAAAGGATATAGGAAATTATATCATTCCCCTCTATGCATTCAAGTATATCAATTACACATTTTGTGCTGACAGAAGCCTCAGGACCGGAAAAGCCTAATGAGGTGTGAAGTGTGATCTGAACAGACACTGTCAAGGACAGCTCTGCTGTAGCAGGGGGTATAGGAGAGAACTTCAGAAACTGAATAATGGGTGGTTTTGTTTGCTATGTGCAGGGGAAGCCTGTTGTGAAGTGGGGCTGTGAAACAACAGGGTAAAAGTGACAGCAGGTCAGAGTCTGTGCACGCACCTGTGGGTTTTGTAAGTGATGTCATGTGGGACACCTGTGCAAATGCTCCCTCTGCCAGCAGAAGACCTTAAATATGGGATATTGATGCAGTCACCTTTTTCCATTTTATACTATCAAGATCAATAAAATCAAAGAGACACCAAGAGGGAGCATGGATATATAGCCTAGTAGGTAGTTCAGTCACCAGAGATATCGGGGTACTGGGAGCTGAATGGGAATGAGAACTGTTCCCCAGGTCTGTTACTGCACTTTATCCAGTTACAACAGAAGTAAAAGGCATCAGCATTCAGATGGCTGTGATAAACACAGGGTTTGGCCCATATGGACTCACAAACCATGCACACAAAGTTCTGCACTACATGAGATCCTTTATCTGTGGAGGAAGTGTCAGCTTTATTCTGAGTTGTGCGTCCTTCTACAGGGTATAATAAGTTACAACATTCTACCCAGGAATCAGCATGTAAGTAAATATCTGACTGTAAGTGAGATGTGCACTTTGTGCATACATAAGAATAAACCCTCACATTATTATTTCTTCGATTTGTCAGGAAAGCAGCTTTCCTCTCGTTGCATAAATATTCAGGAAAGAAAATACAATCTTTTGATAATTTCTTTTTCCAGCTCTAGTTTGCTTTCCCCTGTTCTATGCTGGCCTGGAGAAATATACCTCTGAAAGACTGGTCCCATGTAGTATTGTTATCTTACCATTGCTTACACCTCTCTGTGAAGTAAAAACCACCTTTACTTATCTACTGAGGATGTTCAGCTGCTTCCATTTCATGCATCACATACCTTTACATCCAAAATATAACAAGACTGTTAACTGCAGCTGATTAGCCATGACAAGCCAGTGACACCAAAGGATTTTGCATTAGTTCAATGTCAAGTTCAGAACAGTCATCATACATTAATGAATTATTATGTGTTCATAATTACACCTGATACATTATGGCAATTACCTATACAGTGTTTTGCTTGCTGTTTTGGGGCAAAAATTGAAAAAGCAGTGGAACACAGGTACAAATATAGAGAGAAATTCAAGTCATAAAGAATTCAGGGGTGTGACATTATAGCTTCCAGTTCCAGTGAGGAGGTAGTGAAATGGTCCACATGCCATAGGATTCAGGGGTAGTGGAGCATGGACACTGCCCAGGAACACACATCAGCAAGACACTCACACAGTCTTTTTGTGTGGCTCACAGCTTGTAAGCAGTTTTGAGCTCTTTGTGAAAGATGCAAACTTGTGTAAGTAAATTGGAAGCTTACAGAAAGTCACCTTTACATTTTGGAGTAAGGGAAATGAGGACAGGCTCAGGCCTTGAGAGAGCTCTGCTTGGGGGTGTATGCTGCTGTGTTTGCAAAATCTACACAGTATGTTTATTATTTCAAAATGGACATGCCACATACACACTGAAATATTACTTATTGTCCGCTGTGTTTGCAAGTCTCCTAAAATGGCCCAGACCAATTTATTTCAACATCTAAATGTACTGAACTCAAACATCTATTTTCCTATGTAGCTATGGCCACCCATCACTGATGCAAAAGCCACCTGCACAGTGACTCACCTGCACAACAGTCAGTCCAGTCATACCACTCGACTTGGCTCCAAATGCCAAAAATAAGACTCTTACATGGGCGACTTCACTCCCATGGTATTAGTAACGTGTCTGACAGATGCTATAACGGCCTTTTCTTTAAAATTTGTACCTTTAAAGGACAGTGAATGTAGAAAGAGTTTACTAAGACAAAAATAAAATGGGAAGGAGAAGAGTTTAGAGAAGTATGTATCTGAAATCTGTGTTATGGTCACAACTACAGCTATTGGAGTGTACAGGTTGTTTCCATTCTTTTTACCAGACATTTATGCCCTGTCTCTTCTGCTACTGCACCTCCTGAATTTGTGCTGTGTTTTCTGGCCTTCTATACCGAAAATAGCTGAGATAAATCTAAATAAGTGGAAAGCACTGTGCCAGCTTTCGTAGTCTCTATTACTCACCTCTCAGGAACGTTTGCAAATAGGCTCAGTACAGGCACACAGATTGTCAAACACAGACACTTAAAAAATTGGCATAGCTGAGCATAAGCCATTGATTTATTAGTTCAATTTTACCTGAACTGTGTTTTAAACTGGCCAAATGTTTAAGAAGCTGCGTCCAGCCCAGACTGTGTCTCAGGAGCTCTGTCCTGCAAGGCTCTATCTTGATTTGAGAGAGAAAAGCAATTAAGTACTCCTCCTCCCTGGAGTTATCTAAATATTTGCTGGATCAGACTCAGCTTCACACAATACATCTCCAAATTTGGATAAGAGATAGGTGGCCAGATACTGTAGCTCCAGTGCTGTCAGTTAACATTTATTGCACACAAGAAAATTCCTCTAGAAAAAGTTTCTAGGACACAAAGTACCTCAGATCGTGTGAACCATGTCATATCTCACACATAACTAGTGGCACACTGTTCACCAAAACATGCCATTAAATATCCATCTTTTGCTTCCATAGCTCTATTAGAAATTCAGCTTTGTAGATGCAGTAAGTTGAATATGCAGCCAATTTTTTCTATGTGCATGTTTGATGAAACAGTTAATGACATGTAGAAAACAGCACTACATGCATACAATATTTCACATGGAAACATTTTTAAAATTAAACAATCACAATAAGATGACATTTAACAGGTGTTTGGGTGGAAATACTTATGAACACTCAAACATTTGTATCACTGTCAGACCTCAAATTCATGACATTAAATTCAAGGCATCTCATTTGCCTTATAACAAGCTCATTAGAATGCCCTGCTTACCTGCAATGCTCTCTGCTTTTAGGCTATAGATGCACTTTTCTAACCTGATAGAGATGTAGGGTAGCTGTGGAAAAGGACCAACACCCCAGTTACTTTACTGCAACTATTGTGAATTGCTTATGAAATTACTTTATCCTAAAATTTATATTTTTGAAGAAAAGATTGATATATGGATAGGCTGTAATTCCAAATAAATAAGTATAAAAAGGACAGTAATTGAACATGAGCTAGGATTTACAGAAAAGGGAGCAATGTAATAAGGATATGCATTGGCTTATGTGTCATTCTGCAGTTGTGGTACAGCAGATTCTCTTTCAAGTGCAGAGTGGCAGAGCCCAGGCTTCTGAGGACTCTTTCATGCTAGCACTAAATTGAGAGTGGAAGCTTACAGAAAGAAATTATTTTCTGTATCAAGGATCTTCCTGTAACTTTTAGTTATCCCCCTCTTTTTAATTAGATCATATTTAATTATGGCTCTTTGAAAAGCAAATTAGCTTTACTCTTATCTAATACTGATCTTTTAGGAATA